GGCTGGAAATTCCTCTGCATGAAATCATGTTGGTGGTCTCCCGGCTCAGTGCCTTCTGAAGAGCCATACAGTGAAATATCCTTCCGTACCACTAATGAATGCGCCCACCCACACTGGAGCTGGTGCCCCCTAAGAACTCAATTCAAGAACAACTTTTTAAACTCATAAATGAAATCAAAGGGCTCATTCTATGAGCTAAAGAACTTACAATTTTAGGCAGGACGGTTAATGGGTGGTTACTATAGGTTGTCCCCTTGGTTTGCAGTATACAGTCTCGCAAGAAAAAATAATAAGCAGGATACCGAATACGTACACAGCATTCCAATTAATTAAATTTCATCCTCCTCCAATGAATACATAAATTGTTGCTACCCTGGTTACTGTACAGAGCTTGAGTGACTTGCTCAGCATCAACCAAAGGAACCAAAGTAAACTCACAAGGTCTTGGTTTACTTTCCTGTGTTCAGACAAGATCTCCTTCTAGGTATTAAAAAATCACTAACCAAAGTCTCAAATTGGCCATGAAAACTTGAGCAAGAGCATCCAGGAAATTATTTTTAAGACTACTGACACTCAGCTCTCCCAAGGACTCCTGTTCGTGTGTGAATGAGCACTTGTCATTTCAAGTACAAACGGTGAAGCCTGGTGGCACCAGCCAGAGGACTGAATACCCCAGTTGTGCTATCTAAGCGAGGCGTGGATCTAATCCTGCGATGAGGAGATGACTCCTTCAGAGAGGCCCGTTATAAAATTATCGTGTGACATGGGGGGTGGAAGGAATCAAGCCCGTTGTAATTGAACTGACTTGAAATAATAAATGCACACACTTTCTTTAAACACAGCTTGCCACATCCTGAGAATCTGGAATCAATTCCTTCTCTTTCAAGAAGCTTAAAAGTGGTGGGACTTTGATATGGCATGAGCATGTTTGCTTCTGGGCTTACAGCCCTCACCAGCCCGTTCCAAACCTTTCAACATTTTTATATTACAAGACAGAAAAGTTAGGAAAACAAAGATGGAAAAAAGAATCAGAAATTCAGGGAACTATTAAATCAGGGCAGCCTAGCTGCCAAATACCTTTGGTAAGTAAATGAATCATGATCAATAACATATTGCCATACAGACTTACAGAAGAAGGTTATCACCTGCTTCTGTGCCAGGCACAAAACATAATGGTGTGTGGCTAATGAAGTACTGCATGAATCCAGAAAAAAAAAGTACTGTTTTTCTCTGTAATGTTAAAGCATTTTACTTCAAAGTAATTTTAACTCATCCAGAAAAAACATGATTTTTTCCATGAAAACTTTGTCAAAAACAATAGGTTACTATGAAACACTTCTCTTGACAATGTTGCATTTGTAAGAGGAAACTGTCTTGATAGAAGCAAACCTATTTTGTTAAGGGGATGTTTCAGCCCTGATTGTAAAGCTGCTTGCTTTATATATTCACATACTTGCCAGCAGAGGGTATCACAATCTTAGAAACACACAGACATATGTATCATTGTGTCTAGTCATTTACATGGAAGAATTCAGACAGACACCAAACCAAGAAATCACAAATCTTGTTTTCCACTTTTCCACTATCAGGAAAAAAAAACATCATTTAGCTACTTAAAGGCTACTGACTCTGTTATTAATGCCTTCTACCAACCTTTCTCAGGATAGGAAATATTGCAATGACATAGCCAAGTGATGGCATCACTTGAAGTCTGAAATTGTTGCATGACCCCGGCTGTAAACCCTCCCGGGAGGAACACCAGCTTGGGCTTATCTTTGGTGTGAATTAGGTTCTCCTTAATTCTCACATCCAGTATCCTCATACTGCATAAATCTCCTTAATTATCCCAACCACTTCACACCACTTTTCCGCAAAGATTTAATAGCCACAGGCTGTAGTGAGAGCTCATGTTACGTAGACTGCATGATCTCTGCTAAACCAGTATGCTACGAAGAATGATCACATATAATTACACCTAACCCACACTTCTCACAGATAGAGATAGGCTGATGCTACAGCAGCCTGATATCCCACGCTTTAATGAATTCACCTCCCTGACTCCCAAGTTAAAAGAACATAATTTAAACAACCTGATCTTTGCTGCTTTAGCTTACTTGGTATTCAGCACTCCCCTACTCCCAACCAAAAGAAATTAAAATTCTTTTTTGTATACTCGTCTGGATTCTCCATTCTATTTTTTATTTATTAACGTCTTCTTCTATTTGTGCATTTTGATCATGTACAACTGACGTCCTGGACACTGGTGTGGCTTTCCAGCTTAACCCAAGCAAAGGCACAAATAGAAAAAGGCTTGTTAATAAATCAAAAATAGAATGGAGAATCCAGACCACTATATAAAAAAATAATTGACTATGAGACATGTATCAGTACCTTTATCTGAGAGCTGGGGTATATAGGAACTGCATAAGATAACCACAAGCAGCAATCTGTTCTTTTCGGATCTTGCCTGCTCACATGCAGACAGGGAAAGGGACATTCTTCTAAGTAATTATATTTTATGTTTATAAAATGCTTTTTATTATTACAGAACTATACACAACTACTTCTGCTGTTATATAGGAAAGATAATGCATCAGAACCTGCTGCAAAATGACATGTATCAGATCAGGCCTAGAGCCCTAGATTGCTTTTTGATCGGTGTTGCAATTTTAAAAAATAACAATCAAAAAGAGATAGGCTCATTGGGAAATATGTATACAGTGGTGCTGTCCTTTCCTTTTTGCACTACTTAGTCTTTTCACTACTCAAGAAATCTAACACAACTACCTTTTAATTAACTCATTGTCTGATATCCAAATCAGCCTTCAGAATGACTGCTGCAGGTTCAGATGAGCTGGATAGGAAAGTGGGTAAAATGTCCCTGGGGTAAGGGAAAAGCTATTCTTGCTTAGCCCTTGAAAACTGAAAGTCAACTACTCTGCTGCAATTGAGGTCTACTGCCCACACGGCATAAGTCTGCACCGATAGTCCCAAGGACTCCGAGGTCCTCAGGTACTTTACTCCGTTGATAGAAAGAACATGCTTATACTCTGCTCGCCTCTGCTTTATTCTCCTTGCACTGCACCACTCCAGCTGTAAAAAATTAAGCTAAAAGCCTTTCGCTACTTCAAAGAGGAAAGTTGAGTATCAGTATGAGATTGCAATGTGTCTGGATATCACAGGAGCACGAACCAGCTAACAAAACGGAGTGAGGACGTTTGCAGGGAACAAAGCTTGTTGCTCTCCTGCAACTTAACATCTCTTTTCTCTATAACCTCGGTGTGCTCAATTGCCATTGGGAAGGATTTTCCTTTTATTTTCAAGAGTACCTAAACCAAGATTTTGTTAGGCAGAACTAGGGAAAGCTCCCATTAATCACACTGCAGCTAGTGAAAATGTGGAGACCTGGTCACGAGCACTTTGCCGGGTTAGATTCCTTATCTCATAGTAGCGGATATCTGACCTTGAATTCCAGCTCTGGATATAGCCAGATGCAGACACCTCTAGGACAACCATTTATTACTGGCTGGAGCTGCCAGCCCTTATGAGTCTGGGGATTTGCATACTGCAAAGTCACTGAAAAGCAACCCATTGGGATTATGCATGTGGACAGATACCCATGGCTGCTTTAGAATGCAAGGGGCAGCACGGCTGAATTTAAGATTTACAGTTGCGTAGCAGACCATAAAAATTCCTTGTAAATGGCCAAGATATTTTATTTTCACTGTAACATTTATTTAGTCTAACTCTTAATTTATCTTCCTTTTACAACTTCCTACAGAGGTTAGCTGAGCATCCCATTAGCATTAGACAAAAAAATAACTTTTTAGCATCCCTGAGAAGAGAAGCACTAAAATTATTTCCTTCTGTTAACAACCCAAAAATATTACGGAGCAGATTGTTATCTGCCATAAATCATCATTTACCCATTTTCATCTTATGGGTCAGCCCCAGACAATGAAATATAATCACATAGATGAAATCTGTGGCAGAGCTGGAACCTGAAAAACTCTAGTCTTCTCTGAATGATATGATATGATATGATATGATATGATATGATATGATATGAGCGCATGGTGTTTAACATGCCTTAGGTCTCTGTCTGTGAAACTAGTAATATAAGGTAAGATGTACATCAGTGAGTGACTCCAAATATTCTACTAGATCATCTCGAGGGATACGGCAGAAATCCATTAGCTTTCATGGAGCAACGGGAGCTTAGACTAGGTGAAGTCTCGCCTCTCTGAGAGGAAAGGAATGTGGAGAAGAAAAGCAATTTCATTACAAAGACAGTGTAGGATGTGTGTAAATATGCATGGCATCCAGCTTCTGGGGGGGGCGGTGTATTTCTTTTGACACACAAACATGTGAGGGAAAGTCTGGAGCTTACAGAGTGCAATTACGTTTCTTAAAGCCACTTCTTTCATTTAATTACTTTATGTTTAATGTCTTGATATAACTCAGTTTATATGACCAAATTAGCTATAACAGCGTAACATAATCATGAGATAAGTGGGCCAAGAGTCCGATGGCCACACCTAGCAAATTATGAAGGGTCAGGGCATGGGTTGCTCTCAGCCAGTCATTCACTGCTAAATTTTTAGTACTAGCATGGGTTCGGGTCCAGTCAATTAGCACTCCTCTAAGCAGTGCCTGGGCAGAGTAGAGGAGGTAGCACGGGCCACCAGCCACTTCCAGTAAGCAGTATGGGATCCTGTTCTGGTGAGGAAGCGGGGTTGTATGGACAGGAGCCATGTCATGGCAATTGGTGAAGGGGCTACTGAACGCTCTGCAGCCTGTTTTATTTACAAGTATAAATGTAGTCAATTCAACTGTGGACATGTGAATTGAGTCCACTGAACCTACCATCTCAAGTTGATCAGCAGTGGTACCTGATGTCATATGGACAGAGTTTACAATAAAATGATGGGAGAATGGTAAAATTACTGCAATTCCAAGTACACAAACTCCCTGGCACATTGGGAAATGATCCTACTCACCAGCATTATCCTGCTGCTTGGTATTTTTGATGTATGCAGAAAATTTGGAGAAGATATCGATTCCAGCAGTGTTTGATTCCCGGTGCTTAGCAGCCAGCTTGGGGTACCTGAAAAGGAAGAAGCAATGTGGAGAGTAACATCTTCTTACCAGCAACATAGTGATGATTACAAATACAATTTACAAGAAGAAATAAAAAAGCCCTGTACCAGGAACTGCAATTAATGCTGTCATTTATCTCAAAACAACAGCTTGGCAAGTCCCTCTTAATAATATCTGTGTCTGTCAAGGCAGGCGTTTGGATAGTTACGCAAGGATGGCTTCATGACAAAGGTAATTGCACTGGTGCTTTATGTGACCACGATCCAAGATACAGTGGCCTTAAATCAGAAGGAAGCATAAATTTCCAGAAAGGTGCAGGAGAGTTTGGCAGTCAGCTCTCTCTATTATGAATGGCAGTTGTGTCTAATCCCCTACACTGAAAATGTACTCCAGGAAGTAATAGCAAGGCATGTTGGTATTACCCAGGTGAAGGAACATAAAGTTTTCAGTCTCTGAATTGTTTTTTATGGACATCTGGTGCAAAGGAATATATCGATTTGAAAGACCAACACAAACTAATACTCCTACTGATTTCAGCGGTCTTGGACCAGAGTATAGAAAATTTAAATATCTGATCTCTTGCCTCAGGACTGGCCTACAGCTGCTGATTCAGTTGGAGGTAAAACACTCCATAAGGAACCGAGCCAATTTTCATTGATTCATAGATTTTAAAGTCCAAAACACAAGCCAACAATTTTTTTCCCGTTATCCTTGTATTAAGTCCAAAATGTTTGACTAACTAAGGCATATCTAGTGAATCTGAACCTTTCCTTGGTAGCTTGTTCCAATGGTTAATCATCCATACTGAAAAAATCTGTGCCTTGTTTCTAATCCGAATTAGTTTGGTTATAACTTCCAGCCACGGGCTCCTGTCATTTCTTGACTAGAATAATGAGTACTTTTCTGCCTCCAGAGCCTCTCGTACTCTGTAATCAGTTCCCATTCCAACCTTTCTAATATACCATACAGCTCAGAAACCTCCATTTTTTTCGCTGTAAAATGCTTTTCCTGGCACAGATATTTTGTGTGGCAATTCTCAGCATCTATTCCAAGTTATTTTTAGCTTTGTAAAATGTGGACACCAGACCCCTACAAAATTTTTCTAGTATTGGTCTCCTTAATTCTGCATACAAGGGCATCCTGAAATGTGTACAGAGAAAACATTCTGCAGTTATTAGTCATACAAGTAACCTTCACACATGGAAGTCATCTCACTGAAGCCAGAAAGTTTCATAAATAAATATTACTCCTGTAAGTAAAGATTGTATGAGGGAGTGCTTTTTAGGAACTCCTCTTAGGACATCTTTCATTCCTCGGAAATGGAATATTGACTGAAAAATCCCAAGTTCTTACTTTGGAGGTGCAAGAGTCTCTTCCAAGAATTCCTCAATCTTGTTAACATCTGTCTTGACTTCTCCGTTAAAAGTCAAGAAAGGTGGGTGGGTCCCAGGAGCCAGATTGTGTAGGTCAGCCGGCTTTCTGCAGAGAGAGAAAAAGTAATGAAATCACTAATCTTTATGGTCAGGTAGTTATACATATTTATAGTTCCTAAAAAATCAGTTTGCCCTTCTTTTTTTTTTCTGCAGTTTGTGGTTAGAATACTTTGAAACCACCCCAAGCACCCTGTTTAATATAAAAACATTCCACAAGTAAAAAAAAAAAAAACCCCAAACCTGAATCCCAACTATTTTGTTGTGCACCACAGACTCTCTAGGCTAGATACAAATCTGATTGAACTTTGTGGGCCTTTCTATAGGGCAAACACTGGATCATATCACTATTTTCAATTAAACTGAACAATTTTTACCGCTTCAGGTCAACAGTGGTGACGTTGAACACAACTCCTTTGAGCCACAGGATCATGAAGAGACGCTGGGAGAATGGGCAGTTCCCAATGCTTTCTCCATCTATACCGGCCTGAGGGATGGAAAGAGAGGAAAAATAGATTTCAGACTGTTAGTCACTTACCTCCCTCAAGATGGAAAATTGGATGTTGAAAGAAAAATAACCAGTTTAAAAATAACTGACAGTGCCTGTTATTTAATATAGTTTATCATCAAAACAAGAATGGAGTTAGTTCAGGATTCAGCCTTTGTCAGGAGCTTGAGAAGCAACCTGGTGCCTCTCCTAAAGGCAGCTCTGGGTAAAGGAAATGTGTCCTTTGCTGATGGCAAGCAACATCCAGGAGACTGTATATTCTTTCAATTACTCTCATCCCTTCAGGACTGCCTGCTTCGTGGACATGCTAGAAAAGTCAGGGCAGGTTTTCTGCTCTATTTAAGTCTGTGGACTGCAGCTTGTATCAGCTCCAGATCTGCTTCACTGTTTTACTATCCAAAATGCAGACTTTCAGATCTAGATTTAAACCCAAGCACTCCGGACATTCACTCGTTCTTGTTCACATCCAGTAAAGCAACAGCCTCAAACACAAACAACCAAATCCAGACAGAAATCTCCATCCGAACCCTTCCAAGGTTCAAGGCAGATTTCAGCCACCGCATTCATTCTGTTCCTATCTCTAGTACCTAATGAGTTGCCTACAAACCACTACAAAACAATAAAAAACTGCTAGTGTTAGCATTGAGGAAACAGCCTGTTTTCTCCTCTAAAAATTTATGGTCCTTAGCCATGCAAATTCTGACTTTGAGCCATGGAGGGATACAAATAACACTAGCTGAACTGAGCCAAAGCTGCGTCCAAGGACAACATCCTTCTAGAATAATTATACTTGTGGCCAAAGCTTTCAGGACGATAATGGTTTTGATAGATTTCCATTTTAATTTGTGGTACCATTGTGTTTAAAAGATTCTTATAATCCTGGTGAAGCAACCAACCTTCCGTTGTTGACCCACATGGGTTGCATAACTGTATTTTATGCACACAGTGTGTGTCTGAAAACAGCTGATGAAAGAACTAAGCAAATACATGCCCTTTTCCTTTGGAGAAAATATTATATTACTCTGCCCTCATAAATTTTATCTTATTAATATTCAAGCTGTGAGGTAGCATTTCTCTGTCTTAAAGAAGGAATCGCTTCTAATTATTGCAGTTCTGTGAAACATTCACAGCACAGCTAGAAACATTTTGAGATGTGTCCAGTTGCTACAAATTCAGGCCTTGCATGTAAAATGCTTAGCTGAAAGATTTTCTGGTAGGCATCGTGAATCTTCCTCATGTCTTGAACGCAGCTTTTGATGATTCTGGGTTTAAAAACAAATTCCAGATTTCCCATCCACCAGAATATGGAGTGAGTGTGGATTCAAGGCTTGGAGACAGCCCGTCGTAAAGTTTGGGGCTATGTAAAGAGTTTTTCTCTGTGTTCAGATTCGATTTCAAACACTCAGACTCTATAGGTATTTGGATATGGGAGTACAGTTTGGCTGCACTTTTACCTGAAATTACGGATCTGCAATGTGTCTGCCACGTGGCACATGCAAGAACCAGCAAGCAATATGGGTGAAAGAGGGGTATGGCATGAGGATGAGCAAGAGAAGATGCATTTTCCCATCTGCCTGAGGTGTGAGTAACCTAGTTTTGTAAAATTTTACTAATTAAATAGTTAGCTCTGTTCTGCAAATTTCATGGCAAAACAATGACAATGTTACCATGGGAATACCAGGCACCACCGTACTGCATGCGATAATTACTGCAAAGTCACATTTGTTGTTTTGGCTTTGGCTTGTTAAACCATTGCCAAGAACTTTTAACTTCTTACCCTTCCTGAAAAGAGGCAAATGCTATAGGAGAAAACAGCGATACGACACCAAATTTCCCCTTGGCTTTTTCACCATCTCAATCATAATCATACCCTTCATAATGGAGTTGGCTAACTGAGTCTACAAACAATATATTACAAACCTAAAATTTGAAGAAAAACAGATTGACAACTGAATTAGAGGGCGAAAGAGTGCAGGCGGAAGGGCTGATTCTCATCTTACCTTCTCTGGATTTACTTTGGCTTATAACGCCATTGAGTCTGATCCACTCTTCACCTGACCCCCTTCAAAGTGAGTGTAAAACCCTGGTTTGCCAAGTCCTGCAAATACCTTGTGAGCAAAGGGGTCTTGTCTCACAATAACATGCAAAGCTCCAGCCCTCCTGCAGGTCTCCATCCTGCGTGGAGGCAATCTCCTGTCCTCATCACCCACTTCTTGTGCTGCAAGTAACAATTACACCTTTTTCAGGAAAGAGACTCAGGGAGAACATTTCCCTGCTCTCTCCAATTACTTATTCTCATACAAAGGTTAAGGGTTACCCAGATCTGCATCTTTTTACACATTTTCCATCCTGCAAGGCAACCGTGAAAAACCCTCACAAGACCAGAGAGGATTATTGGGGGAACAAAGCAGATGAATGGCAACGAAGACACAGAAGCGATGGGTCACCTGAGGTTAAGGGATGCAGAAGTCATTGGGGACAGGAGAAAGATGTGGAGTCTGGAAGAAATAAGATTCACTTAAGACATCAAAACTAAAATGAATTGTGGAGGTCAAACGAGGCCTCCAACAGCCCCAAATGGTCAAAATATCTTCCCAACACTTCCAAAAGAGTGGGAAACATTAATTGCTAGAGACACATTGGGAATAGACAGAGGAAATTCCAGAAATGAAAGATAAACTAAAGAAAAAGTGCAACATGATCTCTGTTCAAAGCTCCTGGATCTGGAAGCCAGGCTCATGATTTGGGTGGAGTCTGACTCATGGGTTTTGATCTCATGTGACTGGCACAACTGAAAACGCTACCACAAATCACAAGGCAAACTGGTGACAGAGGAGGGAACAGAATCAAAATCTCCCCAGCAACACAATTTATCCATTAAATTCAGCTCTTTTTCTGCAGAAATTATAGGCAATGCTCTGTCGGTTTTGTGAATCCTTTCTCGTTGCTTCTAACAGCAGTCAGTAATTCAATGTTCAGGACTCAGAAAGAGCAAAACCTTAGTAGGTAATAACTTCAAAGGCTTAACAGAGTGTCTCGAGATCCCTTGTGAAGTCGATTAACTACCAGGAGGAGATGAGGAAGAACAGTGAACTTCCCAGGCTTAGTCACTCTTAGCTTCAAAGAAAAACAGCTTGCTTGAAGCACCCCAGTAGTGCCTAAATACAAGCCTATTATGTATCTGTCCAAGGTTAAGGGCTCAGAAATGCAGGAATTAAATAATACCTTCATCAAGATCAAGAACTCAAACAGTGGATGGAAAGAAAAGAACAAATAATTGACAAGCTGGAGAAACACCATTTATCCCTGCTGTTATTCACAAATGAGCACAAAAGTTTTCTCACATAGCTTCCCTGAAGCACAGCAGAAGTGATCAACCACTTATAAAAAGGAGCAATTTGATGATATATGTGCTCTCCCTGCCAGTAACACTGGATATTTCTGATTTAATGATTGCAACTAGGGATAGACTTGAGGCTTTGTGGGCACTAGGATCAAAGAAACAGAGTTTTTAAAGTGCGCTATAACTCCCAAAGCTGTGAAAGGGTTTCAGAGCCACCTTCTCTCTGCAGATGAGCCATCCCTCCTGTTCCTTATGGAGAAGGACCTCACCTGAAAAGACAAATTCCCAGAGTGACTTTGGAAGAGTCAAACAGATTCGAGGATTTGCTGGGTGAGACTCTTTGGCCAATGCTCATCCCACTGAAGTTTAACTGAGATGCCGAAGGGAAGGTCTCCTGTGCGGGCAAGGCTGGGATGCACATCCAAGAGACGAATCTGGCCACTTTTCACTTTGACTGAATCCGATGAGTGTCTGAATTTAGGTGGGATGAATGTGGATCCCAGTAATAGATAAGCCTGGAATCCGTGGAGGCCTAATTGCTAGAGAATTATTTTGCTCCATCTTGGAAACATCACTTTCTGCTCCCATTGCTTCACACAAACTTACTCTTGTTAGTTTAGCTACTAAAAAAAGATGCTTTTCTACTTAACCTCCAGCTGTTCAGGTACTTCACACCAATTGATGCAAGGTCCTGCCCTGGAACTTGGTATAATCACATCAGGAGGACCCCACCGTCATACCAGCTGCTTGCCTCTATCTGAGTAATGGCAAGAATGGACAAGATGTTCTCCTTTATTATTTATAAGGCGCTCCTCCTTAAATACTTCAGCTATTTTTAATTAATTAATTAAAACTTAAAGGTATTTGTGTGCACAAGTGGGGGATGTATGTCACATTACCAAGGAACAAAATTAAGAGGGTTTCAGCAGGGGAGAAAAAAAGTCTCAGTGATTTTAGGAGCTTGTGCCAAATATTTTTGTAAAGCAGCGGTAGTATCAAGAGCCTCCAACCACTGCACGGCACAGCTGAATAACACAAACAGGGAGCTCTTCTCAAGTTCAAGCTACTACTTTGCTATAAATGAAATAACTGGAATAAACTTCCTCACTTGTTCCAAAAATATCCCAACTGGAACATGCACAGTGACTGCAATGCACACAGACAACTCGTGGTGGGTTGACCCTGGCTGGACACCAGGTGCCCACCAAAGCCGCTCTGTCACTGCCCTCCCCAGCTGGACAGGGGAGAGAAAATATAACAAAAGGCTCGTGGGTGGAGGTAAGGACAGGGAGAGATCGCTCACCAATTACCGTCACGGGCAAAACTCGACTTGGGAAAATAAGTTTAATTTATTACCAGTCAAATCAGAGTAGGGTAATGAGAAATATAATTAAATCTTAAAACACCTTCCTCCCACCCCTCCCTTCGTCCCAGCCTCAACTTTACTCCCAAATTCTTGACTTCCTCCCCCCCAGCGGTGCAGGGGGAGGGGGAATGGGGGTTGCGGTCAGTTCATCACATGTTGTTTCTGCCATTCCTTCCTCCTCAGGGGGAGGACTCCTCACACTCCTCCCCTGCTCCAGCGTGGGGTCCCTCCCACGGGAGACAGTC